ATGAAGGGCGTGAAGGAATAAATGAGAGGAATTAGGAAGCTGATGATTCACAAAGTTTAGGATGAGCTGGAAATGTAGAGGCAGGGGATGAATGATAACAGAAACACATGTTCATGGAATATTATATCTTTGGAGTACGTAACAGAGTGACTAGAGTCACTAGACAACCCTAGCATTATCTTCATCACTCTTCTATCCTCAGATACCGTCTGTCACCTTAAATGAGCATCTAACCTCTACAGTTACCTGCTGTCTAAATTTTTTGTGTCAGTCACTGTCAGCTACTATTTCTCCAAAAAAAAAGTGGCTTAGCACTAAATCACATTTTAGCTGGTTTTGCTATTTGTCAATTCTTGTGCGCTGAAAGTCATTGTCTGGTGTTGAGGTTGGAGGGACCTCTATTAACAGGTGTAAAGAGTATCTTTTGTCTTCTCTTTGACTTTCATAATGAAGATTTAGAAGTCTAGGTTTTCTAATTCAAGTTGGAATGAGAGTTTTTTTCTTTGACAAAAATCTGTCGTTCCTTCTTGAATTAGAAAACCTAGACTTCTAGTATTGGCAGTGTGAAGAAGAAGTTTATAGTATAGAAGTATGAACTGATTCATTCCCAAGCAAATTATATCAAAGGTAATGGATGATTTTTTTCTGAGGTTCATCCTGTCACCTTCTTTTAGGATGCAGTAATTTCCCACCACACCATGTCGTTTTATAATCAGTCTAATGAGAGCATTACTTCTCTTGTAATGTGTTTTGCTCCCATAATATGTTTTCAACAGTCTAAGAAACAGACGGAAGAAGTAAAAAAAGGCTCTAACGTGAGACAGGGAACAGCAAAATCACAGTTCTCAGCTTAAGAAATTGTAATGAAATGTCCATTGCTTATGTGGTTTACTTATCAAAAAACTGATAATGACTTCTAGGCTTGGGAAGCAGCATCACAGGCTGTTAAGGACGAGGAGGCGATTAAGCAAAAGCTTTGTGAGGATTTGAATAGTCTGGTATTTTTTCTTCTGCACTATTACATTTGCAATAGTAGGTTGTGTGAATATTTCTGAAATCAAATTCTCTTTTGTAGGTTCTGGAAAGTAGTAACAGTCAGCTTGCTAAATTGGAGGAACTGAAAAGACGGCTGGAAGCTTTGAATCCAAGTAGAGCATCCACTGCCTCTGTAAGAATTCTTTCATATCTGTGTATTGTATGTGTATTTCAGAATTCTATTAGGTTTTCAGTATGTTTGTGGACGCTTTTTATCCTTTTCTTTTTCCAGATGGATCTCTTTTTATGCTGTTATATAGTATTTCTTTCTTGACATTCCTTATCTGTGCATGAAAGAGTGGGGTACACAAACTGATGTTAACCTTCTGTCGTCTTAAGTTATTGGTGCTCTCAGTAATTATGTTTTTGACCAATTCTAGTGTCCAGCATAACAAGCAGTCATGTGCAGTAACTAACTGGTTGATTCATTATAAGATTGCTTATAGAACAATCTTGCAAAAGGAGAATATGGTGAGAAACATTTGGGAAATGGAACACATTATTTGGTAATCTCACCTTTGACTTTCACAATTTGAAATAGCTTTCGTGGATATGGGGCTGAATATTTGGCTTGATTCTGCTGGCAGCTCAGAACTAGCACTTCACTTTTTAATTTGTGAAGTATTTTGGAATTCTAATTGAATGTCGAATGCGTCTTTCCTTCTTTCTCCTCCTTTTCCTTTGTTGTCACCATTCACTTATTAATTTTAACCTCAGTACTGCAGTGCCATGGCAGCCATAAAATTATATCTTTTGGTTGCTGAAATCTGCACTATGCCTTGCCTGTATAGATATTAGAAACCTCCATGTTTTCCCACCTTTTCAGCCACATATTCTTATTACCATATTTATTTGCTTGTAGATTGCTATCCCACTTGTAAGGTATTTTAGAACCTGAGCAACGATTTCCATATGAGTATGAGCAGAATATATGCCAGACAGTAATATTACTACATGTACCTAAACTAGAAACTACAATGGTTGACTGAAAAATTTACCTATCAAAGATATGAATTGTAGAGTTTCTTGTATTGCTCTTTTTCTACTTCTGAATCTTATTTGGACGATATGGATAAAATAGCACACTGCAGTGATATAATGCTTGTTTCATTCCGTGCTTAATATGACTTCCTAACCAATGCCCATGGCTTTTTTCATGTGTGGTCTCAGGACCAAAGTCCTGTGGGATCTGTACAAAACAGTATGGCTCAAGATGTTTCCTCAGTAAAGGATACACAAGAATCGTTGAGCGGATCATCTGGAAATACATTGAAAGAAGGAAATGCTAGAAGTGGTGCAGCAGAAAATGGACACAACCAATCGCATTCTGTTGATGAAACAAGAGCTAAGAAGAAAATAAATTTACAAGGAAGAGGAAAAGGAATCGGTATAATTCCCGAAGGCCGAGGTTCACAAGGACCTGGTTGGACCGGAGCTGGGTTCGATGTGGATGGCAGAAGTTGATAGCAGAATTTCTCACTGTTTAAGTTCATTGGAATAAGAGACTTGCTGTTTCTCAATGAGGTAGATCATCCAGTCCAAAATTATCAAATTCTTTCACTCTCTTATTCCTTGCGTGTGAAATATCATTTCTGAAAATTCTAATGACTTGTAAATACTTTGAAATATATAGTTTCTGAATCTTTCTTGTTTAAATTGATTTTAGTTTGAGTTAATCTAGTTCAGCACCTCGTTTTGCACCTAATAAATGTGATGTAGATAGTCTACTTTGAGTCCAATGGGTGTGATGTAGTCACTCTACTCTAATGTAAACATTATTGACAACTTTCCATCTCGAACACATGACTTGAAGGTCATATGAAGGCAACTTTACTGTTGTTCTAAAAACCCCTTCAAATAAAATGATTGATACAGAGAAATTAATTTGAAGTTATTTGGGAATATATAGTTATGTTAAATTTAGATTTGCATGAACTTTTGGCGATAGATACATTCATACGATAAAGGAATATGGTGTTTGTACTTATCGTGTCTTTTGGTTGTACATGTTTTCAAATGTGAAAGACTAGTAAATTTCTTGAAAAACTCACAGGCCATGAAAAGACTTTGATGAAAAATTACAAAGGTAATAACAACCAATGAAAAATTATAATTGAATCTTTCGACTTGATGGGTCATTCAATATCTCTCCTGCATCTGAGGCTAATTTTATATCTTATTCCGGTTTGCATGCAGAAAGACCAGCTTTTGACAATAAATCCAATGAATACTTGCACTGAGTTTCAAAATTCTTTGCGACCTCATCACTTTAATCTCCAGAAGAGCCTTTGTCATATTTAAACGCTTGCACGAAGGAGACGCTACGATGTCACCCTCTACCATCATTGCTCTTCCCACACCGCGTTATGACTTATGCATCAATGTGAAGTCATGGGATACAAAACTTCATGTGACACGGGCTCGTTTAGTGCGAGAGATTAAAAATAATAGTGTTGGGATAAAAAAGAATTATGTTGTTTGGTTGCCATGTTTGGATAGCTTATCCCACCATTTATATCATAGTGATGGAATAAGTTATCCATATACATGGTGGGATAAGTTATCTCAGGATAGCTAACCCCAGAATAACTTATCCGGGGATAACTTGTTTCCAACCAAACGACCCCTAAGATTATAGTGAACATGTGGAAACTGATAAGGGACTTAAGTACTGAACGATCCATCGAATTTCAAACTAGAGCAATTTCTTATTGACTCAAGCTTGGATTACAAAAACTAAGACTTTGAGTTCATTTCATTTGGTTAAAAAAAAAGAATTGGTTCTTCAAAGATGTTGCCTATGATTATTTATTTATTGGTTCTTCACAAAAACATGGACCATATTGAGATGAACATTGGATGAAATTATAGATGTCACTATGGGAAAAAAAGAGATCCACTCTTTGTCACACCAAAAATGAGAAAATAATTTACTCCATGCGCCAAAAAAATTCTCCTAATTAATTTGTGTGTTATTTTAATGTGAGATAAATGAATAAATTACTAAATAATCTGAAATGTGCTACTTCCCGGTTAATGGTTTTGGAGCTTGTAATTTTAATTTTTTTTTTTTTATATATATATTATGAATTTAAACATGTCATCTACATTAACTATTGTCAAAATATACATAATCGCTTTGTCAGGTAGTGCTTTATCTTTTAATGTGAAACTTTTCAATGCAAATTCAAATTTAATCGAACTCCAATGTGAATACCAGACACTGAATAAGAAATTAAAAAAAAAATTACTAAAATAGAAAACAAAAATTGTTCTTTAAACAAATTAAAAAATATAAAATAAATAAATTGAAACAGAATAAAGTATAATCCAAAGAGATTTTAATCTATTAGCTCTAAAGAAGTATTTATTGTTATTTTTAATTTTTTTATTACTGAAGCTCTCACTTTTGCTCTACGTGACTTGAATTCATAATTTTAAAATTGAAAGTGAGAAGCTTAACATCCGAGTTCATAATTTTAAAATTGAAAGTGAGAAGCTTAACATCCGAGTTCATAATTTTAAAATTGAAAGTGAGAAGCTTAACATCCGAGTTCATAATTTTAAAATTGAAAGTGAGAAGCTTAACATCCGAGTTCATAATTTTAAAATTGAAAGTGAGAAGCTTAACATCCGAGTTCATAATTTTAAAATTGAAAGTGAGAAGCTTAACATCCGAGCAACTCTCCCGACAGGCTTTAAAATTTTGCCTTCACAAAAGGAAAAACAATAAGATGGGCCAAGAGAATATTGGGAAAACCCAGATTCCAAGAAATAAATTTGGGGAAAAAGAAAAGAATTTGTAAAGACTTTGCAATCAGTTTTTTCTAGTGTCAGAGTTACAGTAGTTTCTAGAGAATCAGCAATGGAGAGACTTCGATGTCAGAGGATCGGTTGCAACGCTACCTTCACTGAGGATGATAATCCTGAAGGCTCATGCACTTATCACGATTCCGTTTGTCTCGCTCCCCTTTTAATCTTTTTGATTCAATTGCTTTTTTGTTTGTTGGTTGATTCGTTGTATTCACTTTAGTTTAATCTCTTGAAACTTCATGGTTGAAATCCCTTTTGGGATGTGGGGTTTGTTTGCTTTTACCATTCTTGTTGTTCTGATAGCTCATGGAGCATTTGAGCTGAAGTAGGTTCATGTATTTTGCATTAACTTCAGTGACTTGAAAGTTCATTGTGATAAATCCCTTTTTGGGATGTGGGCTTTGTTTGATTTTACCATTCTTGCTGTTCTGATAGCTTAAATGACATGGGTATAGAGTTTGAGCTGGAGTAGGTTCATGTATTTTACATTCACTTCAGTGATAATATGTTGAAACTTCTTTGTGAATAATCCCTTTTTGGGATGTGGGGATTGTTTGCTTTTACCATTCTTGTTGTTCTGATAGCTTAAATGACATGGGTATATAATTGGAGCTGGAATTGATTCATGTATTCAGTAGTCACTTCAGTGTTAATCTCTTGAAACTTCATTGTGAAAATCCCTTTTTGGGATGTGGAGTTTGTTCGCTTTTACCATTCTTGTTGTTCTGATAGCTTAAATGATATGGGTGTACCGGTGTAGAGTTTGAGATGGAGTAGGTTCATGTATTTTGCATTAACTTCAGTGATAATCTGTTGAAACTTCATTGTGAAAAATCTCTTTTAGGGATGTGGGGTTTGTTTGTTTTTACCATTCTTGCTGTTCTGATAGCTTAAATGACGTGAGTATAGAATTTGAGCTGGAGTAGGTTCATGTATTGTGCATTCACTTCAGTGAAAATCTCTTGAAACTTCATTGTGAAAATCCCTTTTTGGGATATGGGATTTGCTTGCTTTTACCGTTCTTGCTGTTCTGATAGCTTAAATTACATGGGTATAGAATTTGAGCTGGAATAGGTTCATATATTCAATCCAGTGTTAATCTCTTCAAACTTCATCATGAATATCTCTTTAGGAATGTGGGTTTTTCTTATCCTCACTTCTTGCTGTTTTTTCAGTTTAAACGACATAGGTTAGAACTTGAGCTGGAATAGCTTCATGTATTCAGTATTCACTTCAGTGTTAATCTCTTCAAACTTCATTATGAAAATCCCTTTTGGGATGTGGGGTTTTTCTTTTCCAGCTTCATGTTTTTCTGTTAGCTTAGAAATGGCATAGCAATTGAATTTGAGCTGGGAATACGTTCCATGAATTTAGTGGTCACTTCAGTGTTAATATCTTCAAACTTAATCGTGAAAATCCCTTTTGGAATGTGGGGTTTTTCTTTTCCAGCTTCATGTTGTTCTGTTAGCTTAAGAATGGCATAGCTATAGAATTTGAGCTGGAATACGTTCATGTATTCAGTATACACTCAAGTGTTAATCTCTCTGAAGTTCATAGTGAAAAACCCTTTTGGGATGTGGGGTTTTCTTTTTTTCCCATTTTCTACTGTTCTGTTAGCTTAAACGGCACACACACATAATTTAATCTGGAATCTCGTTTGGCCCAGTCGTTCTACCCCTACGCATACTATGAGTACCACCCTCAACCTCCTCAACCTTTATATGCCTATAATACAAATCGTGACGCCTGCTGCCCTAGTGCTCCAAATCCCCAGCACAATGCCTTTGTTCTCCACTCCATAGAGTTTATGGAAGTATGCCTGTCATCTCCGTCTAATGCGTGTCTCCTCCATCCGTACTTTGTCATCCCCATCCTTAATGCACTTCACTTGGTCCAGGTCACAGGCCCTACTCTCTCTCGAGTCTCGCTTGGGCTAGCCTATATAACTTTTGTCCCCGCCCTTGTCCTCTGATTCCACATGCAAGCGTTCAAAAACTATCATTTTTGCCGCTGTAACCACTAACTTAGCCTCCTTCCTTACCACCTTATACCTTTCCCTATTCATCCATTTTTCCTTCTCACCCTTACTTTCCACCAACTTTGCGTATGCAACCTTCTTTGCATTTACCTTTCCTACGACTTCTCCATTCCACCACCAGTCCCCTTGATGCCCACCAGTATCTATACGATGAGACAATTTTTTATCAACAATATTTCTATATTTTAGAACTTATCAAATCACCGATGACCACCCACCAAAGCAAAAAAACTAATTAAGAAATAAGATGCATGTACATGTACAATCCTGTTGCACAGATATAGCTATAGAATGTAATATCTGACTAATATCCAAGCAATCTTGTCACCTAAGAAAACCCTGTTTCCTTTATCAAGAATCAGCAGATTGTCCTTTTGCTTACAGATCAGAAAAGACTGTCAACACAGTGTCTGGTGAATTTACTGCAGATACATGTAAAAAGATGGTTGTCACTTGGAATATAAAGACTAAGGCAGGAATCTACTGAGACTATATAATTGTCATCTTAAGTATTAGATTAATGTTGCATTCCCATTCAGTTGAACACTAGTTATGCCTTACCTTCTAAACATTTGTTGACATGTTTGTTTTTCTTTTGCACGGACCGTTCTGGACGTGAATGCACTTGCTGGATCTTTTGGCATCAGGGTGTAAGTAAAATAAATTGTCTGATTTCTTATCGTGCATTCCAGATACCATAGCTTCTAAAACACCCAGCTAATCATCAAAGTTCATGTTTGCAGCCTTTATTTCATGATGGAACGAAGCAGTGGAGTTGTTGCAAGAAAAAAAGTCATGATTTCAGTTTATTTCTTGAAATTCCTGGGTGGGTAACTTACGCCTTTTCCTTATTTTACTTGAAACTTTTGTGCCAGATAGTAGTACTATTTCTGTTTGCTAGAATCTGTTGAAACTGGTAAACTCCCGTTGAAGTATTAGTGAAGATTTGAATATGGTTATAGGTGACAATCAAATCATTGGACTAGAAATTGTTTACAGATCATCCTTTCTGAGGTGGTATATTATCATCTATCGCATGTATCATATATTACATGTTATATCCAACTGAGGTGATACTAGGTGAGTTGTTCCTACTTTAAACCTCGATGGGCAGAGTTACTTGATGTCTGCACGAGTGAGAGGTAACAAATTGAAGTCTTGAGGCGTGTTAGAAAAAGCATCTCTTCTTTGAAAGTGGACACAATATTTGGAGAATCCAATAAAAGAAGGTGGTCAGAGAAGTACTTTTCTGAGTTGAATTTGTAAGATGACTAGATTGAAATGACTATCATACATAATAATATGTTAGTTTATTATTGTAACTCATTGCTTTATAATGATAGCCTAGCTGGAAGCATTTCAGACACTTCTAGTTGAAGATTAGTTGTCAATTTTGTATTGACTTTTCAGTTTCTTTGAGTGCGTTTGGTATGAAGGAAAATGTTTTCTTGAAAAATAAGTGGGTTTCTAACTTATTTTCTAGTGTTTGGGAAGTAAATAAAAAATATTTTCCCAAGAGCATTTATATGTAATCTAGCAAACCCCTACGGGGGTGGGATGAGGTGAGGAGTAGGGGTTCAGGGGGTGGCGTGGATTGGGATGGTCAAGAGGTGGGGGTTGGGGGTGTTGGTGGTTGGAATTTTGAAAGGAGACAACAAACTTGGAATGTCCCTTATGAACTTGTTTTCCCTCGCTTTCATCAGGGAAGTTATTTTCTTCATTTTAAGGAACTTGTTTTCCTAGAGAAAATGTTCTCCAAAATATTTTGACCAACCAAATATTGGAAAATTAGAAAACCCTTTGTTGCTTTTCGAGATTCAGGGGATGTTATGGTGGAATATGCAGGGAGCTTTTGCCCTGCATTATCACTTTCAATAGTTTAAGGAGGTATTTTGCAGGGTCATTTATTAATTTTTACTGCCTCAGAAAAACTCGTTTTCGTCTCTGTCACAGATTAGTGGTTCCTTTTATCCCCTTATTCTTCCAAACAATGAGAGAAGAACATACTTTTTCTTTTGGATAGGTAATGAGCGAACAATGTTCTTGCTAGGGAAGATATTGACTACTTGATCAATCCTTGTCTCCTTATCTCTAGTTTAGAAATATTTATGAAACACTTCTATAGTTTGCTTGTGATGCAACCCTCCCCGGACCCTGAATGGATGCAGTGGACTGCCCTCTTTTTTTCTCTTCATAATTTGCTTGATTTGTTTGACCGAGATGAAATGGAACCTTACCTGAGATTACTAATTTCGAGCTAAAACATGTAATTTCTTCTGTGTCTATTTGTAACATTGAAGTTCATTCTTGCAGGTGTAAGACAGGAAAGCACACAACAGAAAAACCAGTGATCGCAACACCATCTGCTACCAAAAATAAAGCAATTCCTGTGCCGGTGAGTGTGCCAGCTCCTATGACCTATGCATCACCGAAAGATGCCTGTCCTAGATGCCACCAGGGATTCTTTTGTTCTGATCATGGTAAGTCTTCCATTTTCTAACTTCATCTAACATTATACTTTGGAAGACTAGGACAATTCTAGACTTCTAGTTGAGTGTAGCAAAGCTGAAAGGTAGCAGGGGAGGCTGTTCATTCTATAGATGCTGAACTCAAGCTTCTCAGTTGTGGCTTCCTAGTAGGTTAATAACGAGGAAAAAGTGTGTTTTCATTTTCACTCTTGCCTTTTTCTACTCCCATTTTAGGGACTCTTTTGCTTTTAGTGCCGACTCTGATCAGTTCTTGTGCTATCATGTTTCATTTAAGGTTCACAACCCAGAGAAGCAATTCCAAAAGCATCAAATACAGTAACATCTGTACCTTCTGGGAGCAAAACAGTTGTACAGCAAGACCATCCAGCTCCAGTGAAGAAGAAAATTGATATAAATGAGCCCCAAATTTGTAAAAACAAGAGCTGCGGTAAGACCTTTACAGAAAAGGAAAATCACGACACTGCTTGTAGTTACCATCCTGGCCCTGCTATCTTCCATGACCGGATGAAAGGAGTAAGTTGATAAATTGATACTGATCTTGTTAAATCTCTTTGGTGCCAAGTTATGCTTCTGTGATATTTTCTGTGTTTATAAAAATTCAAAGAGCACTATCGGAGAATCTCATGTTTTCTGGTTGTCCAATGAATTTGCAGTGGAAATGCTGTGATGTTCATGTCAACGAATTTGACGAGTTCATGACCATACCGCCATGCACCAAAGGATGGCACAACGCTGACCCAGTGTCCTAATAGATAGGCTCACGGATGAGCCACATATGGCTTGTTTGTTGCATCATTCATCAATCAACCGTCGTTGCTACTGTGGACATTGATATAATTTTACTTTCGGTCCATCTGCAACCAGTTCTCTGTGGTAAGGTAGACAGCTGAGACTGGACAATCTATAACGTCTGAATTTTTTGATAGACAATTCGGAGAAATAGCTCAGTTAATACATTGTTGAGATTGTTATGACCCGCTTTAGGCCTTCATCATTTGTTACTTGGTATCATTTTACTTCTGACTATGTTACTCGACTCTTAGAAAATGTCAATGGGTGTGTCGGATGCTCTAAAAGTTTGTTAGTCGGGATTTTATTGCACACTATTCTCTCTTGGTGAGATTGCTTTGGGTAAGTTATTGTTGTTGTTCCCATAAATTTTATTTAATTTGGCTAATTCTCGAATGCAAAAGAGCAAATTAAAATAAGGTATCATGAAAAGGATTAGGTACAATGTGAAAATTGAAAGTTCTTTCAGAAAAAATGATAGAAGTTTTGCTTGCACTTGAGCAATATGCCACACATTGAATTTCAGACATTTATTCTAATTAGAAATAACTTTTAACTTTAAAATTTCTTTTACATTATTATTTAAGATGATAAATTTTAAAAGTCGTTTATTTTTTTGAGTTGTGTCAAATTCAAATAGGAATTTACATAAATTTCACTAGTTTAGGTGTTATTAGATATACTTTAGTTTACAATTATGTCTAGTTACATTCAAATACACATATCTTGGGATACACAGTGTCAAAATTAAGTGTAATTTGTTAATGATATGTTGTATCCAAGTGGATTCACATGTATTTGAGATACATAACAAATCTCGCTCGCCTCTCTTCTATCTCGCTCACCACTCTCATATGTATCTGGAATAACAAATCTCGCTTGCTTTCCTCCTCATCTTGCTCGCCTCTCTCCCTATTTAGTGTATCTGGTAGCAAAAATACATGTATGTAGGTATATTCTCCTCAATATATGGTAGAAAACTCTTAATTAATGATAAGCTATGTAATATTTTGGAAGTATAGTTAATAATAGTATATATGGTAGTGGAGGAAGTCGAATTATATAGTTTCCCTAATTCAAATACTGTCACATAAATTGAGACGAGGGTCGAGGGGTAACTACTTAATTGGGCTAGGTTTGGCCCAACTCCATAGCCAAGGCTCAAGAAAAAACATTTTGGTTTTTGTGGATTTCTCAGTCATAAAGCCCAGTTCCACAATATCCGTTCTTAGTTTCTTTCCATTATTATTTATTTCACTTTTAATAATTGACGCCAAATCAGGAAAACCCCAAATTTTCAAATTTCAAAATTACTTGTTGAAGAGCCAAGCTCATCATCTCTCTCTGCTGCCGGAAACTCCTCCGGCGATTTCTCTTTTTCCGGCGAGAATATACTGTTGTGAGTTTTCCTCTTTCTCGCTTTTTTATTAATTTTTTCAAATCATTTTCCGTGCTGAAGTTACAAATTATGAATTTCGGAGCTTTGTCTCCACAATTTTGTACGGTTTTTTCCGATGTGTTTGGGGCCTATTAGTATGCATTTCACGTTAGAAAAAAAAAGCTGTAGAGCTATCGCCGTCGTCTACAAGTTTTCATTGCTCAAGTGCGAATTATGAATTCTGAAGCTGTGTCTCCACAGTTTTCACTTAGTTTTGTACCTTTTTTCAATTGTTTCGATGTGTTTATGGCCTTTTAATATGCATTTCACTTTAGAAAAAAAAGTTGTAGAGCTATTGCCATTGTCTATGTGTTATCATTGCTCAAGTACGAATTATGAATTCTCAAGCTGCGTCTCCACAGTTTTTACACAATTTTGTAAGCATTTTTTCAATTGTTTGGATGTACAGTAGGCCTATTAATATGCATTTCACTTTAGAAAAAAAAGTTGTAGAGCTATCGCCTTTGTCTACGTGTTTTCATTGCTCAAGTGTGAATTATGAATTCTCAAGCTGTGTCTCCACAGTTTTTACACAGTTTTGTACCTTTTTTTCTATTGTTCAATGTGTTTATGGCCTATTAATATGCATCACTTCAGAAAAAAAAAGTTGTAGAACTATCGCTTTGTCCACATGTTTTCATTGCTCAAGTACGAATTATGAATTCCCAAGATGTGCCTCCACAATATTTACACAATTTTGTTAGCATTTTTTCAATTGTTTCGATGTGCTACTGGCCTATTAATATGCATTCCACTTTCGAAAAAGAAGCTGCAAAGCTATATCTGAGTTTTCATTGTTGAAGTACAAATTTATGAATTATCAAGCTGTGTCTCCACAATTTTTTTACTAGTTAATATGCAAGTTTTCATTTGGTTTTGATGTGTTAATAGCTTACTAATATGCATTTCACTTTAGAAATAAGCTGTAAAGCTATTGCATTTTCATTGGTCAAGTACAAATTACAAATTCTCAACCTGTGTCTCCACTATTTTTTGACTAGTTAATATGCAATTTTTCATTTGTTTCGATGTGTTAATGGCCTACTAATATGCATTTCATTAGGAAAATGAAAGAAGAGAGATTAGGTCCATGAAAGCTGTAATGCTATCATTGTCTACAAGTTTTCATTACTCATTTTCAATGCTTAAGGTTTTCTGACAAGTTAATACACAATTTTTCATTTGTTTCAATGTGTTAATGGCCTACTAATATGCATTTTATTAGAGCCTCGTATTAGTTTGGGAATGAATTGGTGATTTGCTTATATGGACTTGGGCAATCTTGCCCTCTTGAGCTAGCTTTTGGGGTTGAGTTAGGCTCATATGTCATATCTTTACACATTTCAATTGGAAAAAGGAAAAAAAATCAGAGACTAAGGCCATAATAGCTGTAACACTAGCATTGTCTACAAGTTTTGACTACTCATTTTCAGTGCTGAAGGTTTTTTGACAACTTAATACTTAATTTTTCATTTGTTTCAATGTGTTAATGGCCTACTTATATGCATTTCAATTGAAAATAGGAAAAAAATAATCAGAGATTAAGGCTATAATAGCTGTAACCCTATCATTTTCTACGAGTTTTCTGTATGAATTATGAATTATGAATTCTGAAGTAGTGTCTCCTTAATTTTTTGATAAGTTCATACGCATTTTTTCATTTGTTTTGATGTGTTAATGGCCTACTAACATGCATTTCATTAAGAAAAGGAAAAAAACATAAAGGCTATAAAAGCTGTAATGCTATCATTGTTTACGATTTTTCAGAACTCATTTTCAGTGCTGACTGCTGAAGTATGAACTTTGAATTTCAGAGCGGTGTCTCCACAATTTTTCCATTTGTTTCAATGTGTTAATGGCCCATGAATATGAATTTCACTTAATAAAAGGAGAGATTAAGGTCAGAAAAGCTGTAACACACTACCTACGAGTTTTCAGTACGTTTTTTTGAGAAATATAATGTTGTATTCCTAAGCATTAAGGATATGCCGGAGACCTCCAAAAATTGGTTTCCAACAAGAGAAAAAAACAAAAAGGTTAATAGATTACAAAGTGCCTATAAAATCCAAAATTTGTGCAGCTTCTTCTATCCCTTCCTCTTTACACCAAAAATAAAGAGCTTAGTAAGAACTTGATAAGAACTTAGTAAGTTTCAAGTCATTTGGAGAATCCTTTTGATTATCCAATGACAAGTTTCGAGTTTCGGCAATCTGAAAATTAAGCATTTGATCAGTTTGTTCAAGTGAGCACTGAGCACTTAATTATTTTAATAAGTTAGAGGAATAGATACTCATTTGATATCTCTAGAACTTAAGAATTCTCTTGATCATTTAATTATAGAGTTGAATATAGCTTAACATTTGAAGAATCATTGTGATTATCCCAATGGCCAGTTTCAATTTTTGGTGATCTGAAATCTAAGCATTTGAATTAGCTTGTTCGAGTGAGCACTTAGTTAATGTTAATAAGTTTGAGAAGTAGATGTTTGATATTTCAAGAACTTAAAAGAATTCTATAGATTATAGACTTGACTATAGCTAAAAATTTGAACTATTATTAGTGTGTGTGAGAATGGAGGGTGGAGTCTTTTTTTTAAAAATAATTAGGAGAGTTATATCTTTTGAAATTGTATCTTAGGTGAAAAATATTGGGACTAGGCACGCTCTTTTGAAGATAAGACATTAGAAGGACATTACAAAATTGTTACTTCCTTGATCATTCATCATAACAATTGCTTCTTTACATTCCAGGCTGCAGTACTGTTTATGACTAATGTTACAGTTGATGACGAGTGAAATTGCTCACTTTGATTTCAGATTATACATTGTTTCTTCGGAGATAATCTTGTAAGAATTGCTCTTATTTGGTGATTGAAATATCTTTGATATGTCAACTCCTCAAAATGATCCACTCCTGCAAACGGAAACAACATGTGGGTTGTTGCTACATGAACTGCAGGTAATTTTCATGAATATAATGCCACTAACATGTTCATAATTTATTTAGTGGGACCTGCCTTTCTCTTCATGTATCTTTCTTTACTTGTCATATGTTATCTTCTTGATAGTTTCATGATGGATAGCATGTCCATTGTCTAATTCTTACTTTTTTGTTTTTAAAGATTATATGGGATGAAGTTGGGGAGTGTGATACTGAAAGGGACAGAATGCTATTTGAGATTGAAAGAGAATGTCTAGAAGTGTATAGACGTAAAGTGGACCAAGCAAACAAAAGCAGAGCTCAACTAAGGCAGGCAATTGCTGATTCTGAAGCAGAGCTTGCAGCTATCTGTTCTGCAATGGGGGAGCGACCAGTGCATATCAAACAGGTTAGGAATGATGTAGTCAATTACCTTCACAGTTTTCAATGTGTGCTTGTTGTATGAAATAGTTATATCACAGTGGCCTTATCTGTAAATAGAAAAATAAACTGTATTGCACTAGTGCAGGTTGGCTTTATTCTTGCAACAGTAAACTATTAAGATGACCAAGCCAGGCTCCTCTTATATTCTAGAATATACAGAAAACGTTGAATTTGAATACTCTATATATACATATTTAAAGTAAGGTTTGCATTTACCTTCCACTAGTTCAGGTAAGGATTTATTTAATGAATATCTTGTATTCAGTCTGACAAGAGCCAAGGAGGTTTGAAGGCGGAACTTAGGGCCGTTCTTCCAGAGCTTGAGGAGATGCGGAAGAGGAAGTCCGATAGAAAGAATCAATTCATTGAAGTTATGAAGCAGATAACGAAGATTAAGAATGAAATCTATAGGTTTACTTCTGCAAGCTTGGTAGTGGATGAAAGTGATTTATCATTACGAAAGCTTGAAGAATTGCATACGGAACTGCACACACTTCAAAAAGAAAAGGTTAACAATTTTTCTATCGCATCAAGCCAATTGTTCTCCGACCCCGTCCTTTGACTTAAGACTATTTATTCTCTTTTTTGGCAGAGTGAACGTTTGAAACAGGTTCTGAATCACTTAGGTACCTTAAATTCACTATGCTCGGTTCTTGGCATGGATTTCAAACATACTGTCAATGAGGTTGATCCAAGTCTTGGGGAATCAGAAGAAACTAAGAACATTTGTGATGGTACCATCCAAAATTTAGCAGCTACAATACAAAGACTACAAGAAGTTAAGTTACAAAGGATGCAGCGGGTATGCGGTTGAGTAAATTCTTCTCGAGTTACCTAGCGTTTTTTTAACTCTTTAGACATTGATGACCTTCTGGATTTTGCAGCTGCAAGATCTTACTACGTCCATGTTGGAACTATGGAATTTGATGGATACACCTATTGAAGAGCAACAGATGTTTCAGAATGTCACATGTAAAATAGCTGCCAAAGAACATGAGATAACAGAGCCTAACATGTTGTCTATGGAATTCATTACTTATGTGAGTATAGTATCTTTGTGATCATTCTGCTTGACTTTGAAATATTCTACTTTGGGCCTGAATATGATGGATTTTTTTACTATCAAGGTTGAGGAAGAAGTGGATCGTTTGGAGGAATTGAAAGCAAGCAAAATGAAGGAGCTTGTTCTCAAGAAGAAGTCAGAACTAGAGGAGATCTACAGAAAAACACATATGGTTGGGGATTCAGACGGTGCAATGAATATAGCTATTGAAGATATTGAATCTGGTATCTAAGTAGTAATCACGTAGAATTCAATTGATTATTACGTCCTTGTTATGAGATTACTTATATGCTCTTCTTTGTTCATATCTCTGAAAAGGAGCTGTCAATGATGCTGATGCTGTCCTTGAACAAATTGAACTCCGAATAGCTCAAGTTAAAGAGGAAGCTTTTAGCAGGAAAGACATTCTAGACAGAGTCGAGAAATGGATCGCTGCATGTGAGGAGGAGTGTTGGCTTGAGGAGTATAACAGGGTTGGTTTTTCTTTCAACTAGCATTTACATGTTCCATGAAGTAGGCCCAAATGCTTATTCATTACCTTGATTTATTGTCTAGGACGAAAATCGCTACAATGCTGGACGAGGCACCCACCTAACTCTAAAGCGTGCTGAGAAAGCTCGTGCTTTGGTTAATAAACTTCCAGGTTTCTAATAATTTCCTCTCCATTTGTTAATGCATATTTGTTCCATATAAAGGTTAGAGAATGATATTTAGTGGTGAATGAATGAAATAAATTAATGTTGTTCAACAGCAATGATGGAGGCATTGGCCTCAAAAACAAAAGCTTGGGAAAACGAGAGAGGAACTCAATTCTCTTATGATGGTGTAAGCATTTCGTAGCTTACTTTTTAAGATATGATAATGTTGAGGTCTAAGGTTCCATACATGTAGATCTCCCTAAAGTGGTTGTTTCTTTTTGTTAGATTCCTCTCCTCTCTATGCTTGAAGAGTATACCATCTTGCGTGAAGAAAAGGAGCTAGAGCGTAAGAAGCAAAGGGTATGAACTCTCAACTGGCTTTTGGTTGACTTTATATCTTTTCTATTACGGGAAGCCATTAACTTGCACGTGATTCATCTTAACTCAGGACCAGAAGAAACTTCAGGGACAGTTAATGGCAGAACAAGAGTCTCTTTATGGCTCAAAACCCAGCCCTATGAAGAACCAAAGTGCCAAAAAAGGTCCTAAATTGTCATGCGGTGGTGCTCCGAGCAATAGAAGGCTTTCGCTAGGAGGAACAATGCAGCAAACTTGTAAAACTGAACTCCCTCATTCCACTAAAGCTACTCCAAACACACGTCAAGCAAAGAAGTCCGAGCGCTTTCATCAACTTGACCAATTTAATCATCCTACTGATGATGGATTTGGAGCTTTATCAACAGGTAATCTTCTCCTCACCTCTCTTGAAATACTTTTTAGAACTCATTCCTCTGGAAATTCAGCCCGAGGAAAAAGTCTTGACATACATCTTTTGTCCACATGCATATGCTGTTTGTAAATTCTAACTAGCTTTCTTTTATCATATTAAAGAATTCAAGTGTACTACCCCTTATTCAATTTAATCTTGTTATGCTTCTTTGCTTAGGGAGGAGAGGAGGTTTGGGTATAGATGAACTTCCTTCGAAAAAGCAGCCCATCAGTGCACTAAATGGTTCAGAAGTCGAGACAGCAGTAATGCGGAAGCCTTTCTCACCCATTTCTTCCAAAGGTTCTTCCAAGTCCAATGCAACAAATATATTGGGAGATATGAACAGAAAACATAATGAAACGATGATAAAGACCCCGCTAAGTAACCATACTACACCAGTCTCCACTCCTGTAAAGTCGATTTCTACTTATGAAGAAGAGAACAGAACTCCTGCTAAAGCAATGCCAATTCCCGTGCCTTCTACTCCATCAACTGTGTCTGTTCCAATGCAGACGACAACACCAGGTCCTGCTGTTGTTACACCTTACAATTCGAAGCTCGTTGAAAACACCCATGTGGTGGAGGAGATTGAGTATTCCTTTGAGGAGAGTCGGCTTGAGTTTTACCTTCAGAGAACACATATCTAGTAAGTTGTCATACAAGTTAGATACCATTACCAACTCAACTATAGACGAAATTGATTGTTAATTAAATACGTTCCGTCTTTTGTATAGCAGTCTATACATTTTTGTTGCTATGGTTGAGAAATGTGTAGATACGAAAAAGTAACTGAATTTGCTAATACTTGTCCCCTGATTAGTACAAGATGATGGAACACCAATATTGTTAGGATTATATTGCCTGGACTCTCCAAAAATGTTGATGTACCCATGTCGGATCCTTCAAAAATATGAACTTTTGAAGGATCCGTCAAACATCTATTGACAATTTTGAAGAGTCCAAGTCTGACATGGTAGTTGGACTTGCTCTTGTTTTTGCATTTCATTTTCACACTCCTCGATATAGAGTTGGCATACGTAATTGTTGTCAATTAGGAACGAATATTTGGCCAACTCAACAACGAGGGTATGTACATCTCAAAGAGCTCAACTTTGCACCTCAAAAAAGTTGGAAATTAAGGGACTACATCGAGTATTGAATAAAACGATTATCCTGTGTAATTTCACAAGTGGGGTTTGAAGAGTTTAGAGTGTATGTTACTCCAAAAACTCAACTATCCTCAAATAATATCAGAGCTGATGGGTAATGAAGACGATCCATCCAAACAAATCTCAAAGGAAGCAGCTTTATTGTTTAGTCTTTGCCCAGAGGCAAGTGAAACATATACATTCATCACAAGGGTATTATTACTGAGGGACCAAAAGAACTATTCAGTGTTGACATGTTGTGCACTGGCTGCCTCCATCATCCCGTTGCGTATTTGCTGACCGATGTCTCGGACATGGCCAGGACCATGTGGTAAGAAAACAGTGGTGTTTTTTGAAGAATTTCCAAGTTCTTTGATTGTATCAAAGTACTGTGTGATCATTATGAGATCCATCACTTCTTTAGCTGAGGTGCCTTCCACTTTGTGAGAGAAATTCAATATGTTCTCTCTCAACCCATCCGTAATCGCCTGCCTCTGCCTAGCGACTCCAACTCCGCCTAAATACTTTGCTTCCGCCTCGGCTTCTGCTTTCTTAACTTGGAGAATCTTTTCTGCTTCTCCCTTGTATACGCTAGCAAGCTGCATTCTTTGAGCTACAATACAACATACGACATGCAAAGGAGAAGTGTACACATTAGAGCCAAGAACAGTTTGTCTGCACGATCAACACAACAACTACTTGTAAGCTATGTTGCTCAAACTCTTCAAAAATATCGAAGGGTGTGTGTCGAATCCTCCAAAAGTAGTGCATTTTGGAGGATCTAACATGGGTGCGGCATCATTTTTGGAGAGTATGGCAACATAGCTTGGAGGCACTCTTTATATCGAAGTTAGAAACACTTGAAATTTTCCAAATATGTTTGCCCATCTTTATCATAAATTCATGAAGTACTTTCAGAAATGACATAAATGTAAAAATCTTTCTTTCCACACACCAGATGCATTCGTTATCAGCACCACACACGATTATATTCCGATATGTACGACAAAACTTTGAAAGAGCAATTACTCAAGTAAATATAACCAACAATCCATCTTATACCTACTGAAGAGGTTGGGAAAAACTCCTTTTGAATTAGTGTGTGTTAAATTGTTTAAACTAGATATTGTGTTCATTTGCAACACTAGGAGCATTCCATTACCTGCATTTATCTCATTCATTGCTTTCCGTACAGAGGAGTCGGGAATAATGTCAACCATCAGTATGTGCTCAATATTGTATCCATATGCTCCCATCACCTGACAGACACACTAACGTCAGGATATATCTTGAAATGGAACACAAATTTCTATTATATAGAGTGGGAATTTCATGACCTTTTTGGCTCTACAATGCAAAATTGTCAAGTACCAAAAGATCAAGCAAAAATAATATTTCCCTTTCAATATTGGTGACGACAGAAACAATTCTATGGAAGTGCAACATTTGAAATGCGAAGCACCTTCGCCTGAATTGTGAATATAGCCCAATGAAAATCTATATCATAGGTGGAAGAAATAAATAAATAATAATTTAGAAACAGAAGAAGTGCTGAAAGAAAACCCAAGAATTTGTGGAGTACTTCAAATAATTATTTTCTACTGAATCGCAGTCTACTACATGGATATCCACAATGAGAGGCACTTGCACGAACAGATCTCATCAAGTAAGCACGTGCCAATGGTCCAAGACAAGTCATCCGATGGATCTAAACTTTTTCATTTCTTGTTTAAATTTTAATGGCATTTGAAGCCTTAAATTCCAAAAGTGTGGACTTTGATATTCAGAAAATACATGAAGAAAAGAAAAACACAAACATAAGCAGCAGCGACATTTCTTTTCTCAGTTATAAATCAATCATTCAACTGTGCGTCAATCCTAAAATTAGGAAAACAAATTTGAGAAAGCAAAAACAATCCCAAAAATATTAGGGAGAAGATCCTATTAAGCAGGCTACTAAACCAAAAAATTGGACGAGGACAGCAATATAAGATGATGTAATGCACCTCCACATTGGGGGGAAAAAAGGAAATGCAGAATGGTCATAGTGTGTTTACAGGCTTGTTTTGGAGTAACATTATTTTCCTTGTGCCTAACCTGTCCTGAGCCATTTCTCCTAGCATAGATAATAAAGTTTAAAGTTTCTATTCACCTAAGAGTCAAAATACAAAAAGTAAATAAGGGAATTGTACAAGATCAGCTAAAACCTTCAGTTGAGCTTAGAAGAATCTACAGAGCATGAAATTACCTTCTCAAGTTCCTCCAGAACGGCCTTAGCAACTTCATCCTTCTGTTCGAAAAGCTCGTCCAAATTCAATTTGGGTACGTGGGCTCGAACAACTAGAATAGATATAAGGAACATCGAAAGAGAAGTGTGTTATCAAAATAGCAGACGAAATACTCAAGATTATGCCATATAAAAAGGGATGCGCAACACAACAAATTACCATCAAATACATAAGCCTGAATCTGTTCCCTTGGATTTTGCAACTCATAGAAAGCATCATCAGCATTTTCCCTGATTACTCTATATTGGATTGAGCACAGCATTTGAACAAAAACATTGTCCTGAAAATTGCATATCAGTAAAGTTCTCTGAAAAAGAAAGAATCGCTCAATTTTATCATAAGTTCCTGACATATAATTTTTCATCATCCATCATGTCAACTACTTTTTACCAATTACCAAAGTACTACAAGAACAGTATCTTCATAGCGAAGACAATAATAAGCTCACAGACACCTCACAATACCAGCCATTAAAATACATAATCTAAATTTTTTACCACTCTTCATGCAAACAAAGAGTGGTAATTAGACATTGATGCTTGTGATAGTGTAGGCAGCCTACATTACACTTCCTTGGGTTGTCCCTTCAGCACCCTGCATGAACGTGGGATATTTCGCATACCAGTGACTGTCTTTTTTTATGCAACCAAAGCCCCAACTATTATGTTTTGATGATAGTGGTGTCCGTGCCTGCACCTTGACTAATTGCAATGCTACCTCTCACCATCATAGGTAATAGGTAATTTTATCCACCAAAGCTTGGACAAATGGACAAAACTCACCTAGTGCTTTTGCCTCCATCGGTGAATGTGAGACCTCATGGTTCTCGACCCACTCCATTGACCACTAAACCACCCCTTTGGATAACCAAAGTCCCAATATTTAATAGAGACGGACCGACTGAAACATGATAGAGAGCAAAATACAATAGGAAATACATATGGTTTGATCATTAAGCACAAATGGTAAAAGAAAACACACATTAGACATGAAATAAAAGCCCAATGAAAAATCAGGAATTATTAGCATTGTAAGGCTCTCTTACTCTGGTTTTAGTCTCAATTTCGACATCAAGAGAGCAGGTCCTAGTTGAGAGAATTCCAGAAAGGCATTCACCAGCCAAGGGATTGAAGAAATGGAGCCCCAGTTCGGCTAGCCTATCGAAGCGACCCCATTTCTCCACCACACCTACGTTCTCTTATTCTATGCATCCACAGAATGCGCAATATAAATTCCCCATTTCCCCTTCCCCAAACCCTACATGAATGCAGGATGCTTCATGCATTGGGCAACTCTTTTCTAAGCAACTAGAGCCCCAATAATCATGGTGTTCAGGCTAGTACGCAGGTACCTCGACTAATTCCACGAGCATCATCTACCTCACACCAAATACAGGTACCAAATAACTCTATCCATCAAAGCTAGGATATATATGAACAAATTCAACTAGTGTTATTGCTTCTACTTGGATTTGAACGTGATACCTCATGTTTCTCAATCCACTTTACTAACCACTACGCTATAAAGTGCAATATTTGACAGAGATTGACCGACTAAAACATGATAAGAGTACAAATCACAAAAAGGAAACATACATTAGACATGAAAAAACACAAATTAAAAAATAATCAGAAATTGGCATCGTAAGTCTCTATTACTTTGGTTTTCGTCTCGATTTTGACATCAAGAGAGCAGATCCTAGTTGAGAGAATTCCAGAAAGACATTCACCAGCCAATGGATTGAAAAAATGGAGCCCCGGTTCTGCAAGCCTATCGAAACGTCCCCATTTCTCCACCACACCTACACTCGCTTGTTCTATACATCCGCAGAATATACAATATGCATTCCCCATTGTCCTCTTCCTCCTCCTTCTTCTTCTGCTGTATTTGCCTTTGCCGTTGCCCGACGACGGAGCAAGCGGAATTGCACCGATCTGACTACCGCCTTCTCTTCGCGGGTTTTATTTTCCCTAACTTGTGTTTTTTCTTTACCTTCGGAGTTCGGAGGTTGGGGATAAATTCAAATGTTAATTACAAAATAATCACTTTTTAAGATAAAAAGATATTTTCACTAAAAATATAAAATAGTATGAGTTACGAGTTCTTTAAGGAGGGGTAAAAGAAGGAATTCATTTTTTATAATATGGTGTGTTTGGATTGTGAAATTTCGATATCGAATAAGCTAGGAGTAGCCTTAATGGAAGATAATATGTTGGAAAATGAGAGTGAGATAATTTGGGAATATGAACGAAACTACGGAAGATATACGTGTTCCAATGCGGAAGCGTAAGTTTGGATATGAATAGCTTCAAAAGAGAAGTAGAGGAGATCGAAGAAATATTAACGCAACTTCAATTTATCGATAAGATAACTTTAAATTGAAGGCTACGGAGGATACACACTAAGTTGAGGACTAGTAGATAGTTATCATTGTGCCACTTATCGTTCAATACTAGTAGTTGTAGTTTTTAAATTTTTAAATTTCTTTTTTCGATCTAGTAGATAGTTGATCAT